TGTGATTGTGGGCTGATTCGTTCTGCTGCAGCCTGACTTCATTTGAGAAATTTAGCTTTTCTTTCTGCTTGTTCCCAGAGTAAAAGAACAGGACTGTGGGTCAACCTGGACACCATTTTAGATTTGGCTCTCTCCATCAGTCGTCCTCCAGACTCTCTGAGGAGTTTTTTCCTTGGAATTTGGCTGCTTTTTCCTCTTGGAAATGTTTTTTCTTTGAGTTTTTGGACACCGAAGATTGAGCCAATGCTCATTCAGACATAACCTCACAAAGCACAAGAATTCTTTTGGTGGGAGATTTTATATTACCCTAGCAGCTAGGACCTCATAGAGAAAACAGCTGTGCTAGCTTAGTGACCTCATGGCATTGAGGTGTCCATAAAGTCTCATCCTCCATTGTCCTCCTGCTCACTGTGCATCTGCCGCTGCTTCGTCCCAACTTTCAGGAAAAATCTCAACCCGGTACGTGACGAGTCCCTGACTGAACGGCCGACACGCCACATTTTCACATCAGAGTCAGAGTTTAAGTCCTAGCTTTGCAACTCTGAGTCCAAACGCAAGTCACAAGTCCCTCAAGCATGACTTGAGTCTGGGCTCAAGTTTCAGTCCAGGATGTGGAAGGCGCTGTCCGCGGCAGACAAAAACACATCAGCATAAGCCGCAGGGTGAAATGTTCCTTATAGAGTCGAGCTCATGAAGCTCGACCAAAAGGTGATAATTGAATTTACAGAAAGTGAACAGTTTGGTATTAAATCTCATAATCTAGACAGAAGTGGTGAGTTTGGTCCCATCATTCATCCCATTTAGGCTATAATTACGTTCCTATATAAATAGTTTATCAACTTAACAGAAGATGAACATCTAATATTTAGGATAAAATGTGTATTGATATGAGTTTTGCTGATTAAAAATAGCTCTTCTGAACTGAATATACATTTTCCTGCTTGCTAATCGACCCATAATGTCTCAATATTTGACAATCAGCTGGTAAACGAGTTCATGTCCAAAGAAAAGGATCAGATTCCATCAGAACTGGAATCTGTGGGTTTCAGACAGAAATTGTCCTTAAATAAACCTGCTAAGTCGTCATTGGCATTTTTCATTGTGTGGGCGTCGGACGAGCCCCCGCACCATGAGAACAAACATCTCATCTCTAAAGCTGATCTTCATCTGCATACGTCACACGTCACATGATCAGGAAGCAGAAAATCCATGTGTTAGGAGATCGTTTTGGGCTGCTGCTGTAAAAAAAAGTGAGGCGTGAAACGGAAAAGCTTCTGCCGATCACAATTCAACAACGGATTATGAAAGAACGGATAACGCTCGAAACACGCGGATTCTTCCTCATGTAAGAGGTGAGTCTCCGCTTTGTTTTGGTTGTTTTGGCGTCGACATCATCCTAGTGCGCAATGTTCAGTGACTCTTAAAAAAACTGTAAAAACGGTGAGAAACCGTGGCAGCGAATGCTTTTATCGAACAGGAAACGACTGGCAGCGAATGAGTTAAGAACTCAGGAACTATAATACACTTGAACTTACCATGTAATTACTATGTAAGTACTTAGTAATTAGGGGACTGTAAAGGAAGTGTTACCAATACTAAATTTAGATCTGTGTTGGGCTGTTGTAAACGGTCGAACCTTTCGTTCCCAGTGAGATAAGAAATAATCCCACATTTAGAGTAAAAGCTTTCTTGTGAATGCATTAACTTGGTTTTTCCTGTTACTGAGCTTCCGGTGTGGTTTCTAGATGATCTGGAAAGGTCAGCAGCTCTTTAGAGAGACAGATCCATCAACCTGGGTCCTGAGTGATCCGGTTCCTCGTCTGTGTGCAGGATGGAGCTGAATCCTAAAAACACCGTTTGCCTTAAATTTAAATTTAGTGACATAGGAGGAGGCGCTTCCGGGCCTCATTTGGTTTTTCTGCTCTTTCCTGGTAATTTTGCAGCCGTAATATATGACCTGAAACAACATTTGCACTGTGAACGCAATAATTACAGCTTTATTAACCCCTAATTGTTATTTTACCAAAAGGAAATCAATCAGCAAAAATCAGGATTAGAAAATTTTACCTGACGTTTTTCACTCGTGCAGAAAATCACAAATCATTTCTACAAACCTAAATCTAAAGTTGTTTGCTTTTAAACACGGCTGATGAACTCCATGATCTTTATTCCCTCAAGCATAAAACAAAACATCCTCATATGTAAACAGAACGGATTCAGCCGCTCTTTCAGAAGCAGGTTTGTGGTCTTCTACTATCACTTCCTCTGCAGGATAAAGGCATCGGCCCGGTTACCAGGACGACGACTCTCCTCCACAGCGCTCTGATATTTACAACGTTTATTCATTTGGAGTTACCAAAACCTCCCGATGATGGTTTACTAGCAGCTTCAGATCCAAAACAACTGGACTTCATTAGGTTCCTACAGATGCGTTGCTCCTCATCCCAGAAGCTCCCAGTGCTGGCAGAAAACTTCCAAGTACCGACCTCTTGAACTCCAACAACAGCTTTGACGAAGTAAAAGTTTAGTACTTTGTACTTTTCAAAGTTAAAAGACTTTCTCAGTTCAACTTATTCATTTTTACCAACTTTATAGCTTCTTTTATTTACATTATTAAAGGTTGGATTTGGTTTAGTACTTTATGTTTTGATGATTGCTTTAACAAAATCGGCATTTTCATGACGTTTTCTCATAAACAAAGCTTTGTTTGTTTTTTTGTTGCTGCCTTATTACTGCTTAGTTGTTTTAATTACTGCTCTTCTATTACTCCTCTATAATTGTGGGCACGTTTATCTTTCTGCTGTTGTTTAAAGACCAAGTTTACTTGTTTTTCAACACATCTTCAGCGGTCTCTAATTGAAATGTCGATCTCTTTGAGGGGAAAAAGTTCCGGCGCTCCTGTTTCAGGAAGTAGAGGAGAACCAGAGGAGAGGCGAGCACAAGACGAGTTTAAAGTGGTTTAAAGGTGTGGTTCACTTGTTTAATCAATGCAGTGGTCTCCAGTAAGAGGGAATGCTTTGTACATTGTTCTCAGGGGGGAAAATGCACCGATGCACCATTACCAGGAACTAGTAGTGAGTCACATCACAGCTGAGCTTCAGACGACAGGATCTGGAGCTGATATGTGGACACCTCTCCTCTGATTGGCTAACAGCAACACGACTCTACCACTGACTATGTCTGCTCTGTGATGTTTTATCTCCACAAATAACACAAGCTCGGAGTTCTGCTGTGTGGTGGAGTTGCTAATGCTAATTGTTAGCTTCTACTAGCCAAAATGTGCTCAGCTGTTTCCTGGACGCTAAACCACCAACGGTCTTCCCCGTCGTGAGCCAAGATGGGTGAGTCCATGAATGTCAGTGACAGGGTGACGTAGATCTGTCAGGCTTTTCTCATCCTAGAGTTTCACCGTCTGTTTTCTATCAGAAGCTAATGCAGGAGATAGGTGTAGGAGACTATTTTCATGTTCAGCCTGCATGTTTAAAATCAAAGCGTCCGATTATAATTCAAAACAAGTCAAAAACGTTTTTTCTCAGTGAACTTGCTCTTTAAATCCAGTTTGTTGTAAAACACGTTGTGCTACACCAAGTGTTCTACGAATCGAGCATAAAGGACAGAAGTTTGAAACAGAAAAGTTCGGAGCTTTTAAACTGTCATTAGAAGCTTTGAGAGACCAAGCTACAGCACGAAAGCTCTGTGTGCTTTTCTGAATGAGAACGTTCAAAGAACAAACATTTTTCTGCAAAAACATGCAAAGTGCCTTCAATCTAAACAGACCACAGCAGGAGGCAGAAGCATTTGGTAAACGGCCTGTATTTGATATAGCGCCTTCTAGAGTCCTGTAACCCCCCAAGGCGCTTTACAACACAATCAGTCATTCACACGCTGGTGGGGATGAGCTACGATGTAGCCACAGCTGCCCTGGGGCGCACTGACAGAGGCGCCACTGGTCCCTCTGACCACCACCAGCAGGCGGGGGGGGGGGGGGGTGGGGGGGGGGGGGGGGGGGGGGGGGGGAGTGTCTTGCCCAATGACAGCGACAAACTCAGCGGGGCTCGAACCTGCAACCTTAGCACTTAAGTACTGTGCCACCGTCGCCCCCATTTTGCTCACATTTAAGGACCGCTTGCAGGCTAGCAGGGTCCTGTAGCGGGAGCTAAAAGCCTGGTGCTCTTGGTACGTTTGCATCCTACTGTTTGACTCGAGGAACTTCCTCAGGCCAAGCTGACGAGCTGAAGAGAGCTTTAACCCAGGAGCGAGGGCTCTGAGAGCAACAAACGTTTTCAGCAATTCTCTGTTTGAAATGACAAAGCATCCTCGAGAATAGTAAAAACTCCCGTTGTGCGTTTGTGGTTCTGTTCGACCTCCACGCCGACCCTGAACACGTTTGATGCAACCAGAGGAGACTGATGGAAGGTCAGAGGTCACGGCTGCCTCCAGAAGGCCTCTTCAGCTGCTGGATGTGGGTCCTGTAAGCTGAACTGAGCAGATCAGAGCCGGTCCCCCCTGCAGATGGCATTAGGGTCATGTTGGCAGTAAGTCAACACAACCTTTGTCTCCTCCACAACAATAACGCAGCCCTGTGGTGATGTTTATAAAGCCTGATTCTGTGGCACTCCCTAGTCCCAGCCAGAGTTCACATCTACTTTACATCAGACACAAGTGTGTGCTGAACAGCTGCTCTGCCTCAACATCCTGTTTCGCAAACTGCAGGACGATGCTGCAACGTGAGGGAGAAAGAACATACGTTATTACATGATTATTACTGACACCTTCCTGTTCGGATCACGGCGGAAAAGTTCGTCTTTGACAAGTTCTTTCGGTCTGAAACAAACCTAAATATCCCGCTGAACTAAGTGTTTGTCTGGAGGCCGAGAGGAAGTGGCCGGACCGGTCCCGGAGCCCAGGTGTCCGTCCGGGGCATCCCTCATGCTGTTGAACCGGAGCGGGGTCAGACCCGCAGCCGGGGAGGGAAGCTGTCAGACGGAGTGCCCGCTTACCTTCCCGTGCTTTAAGCAGAACCGTGTTGGCCACGATGTTCTCCAGCTCCATGTCGACGCTGCGCCGGGTTATAGCTGCAGCAGCACGCCGTCCTGGTGGTCCACCCTCCCGGTAGCTTCGGTTCCTAACTCCGTCCACTACCTCCGCCCTCCGCCCAGTCGAGGAGGAAACGCTGAGCTCTCCGTTTTCGGTTTCCCACAGCCCAGTCCGCTCGGTGACAGTCCGCCGCGCCCTCCGCTCCTCTGGCTCCTCCTTATGTCTCACCCCCGTCTCCGCCTACCGTCAAAGCGGCTGTTAAAGAAGTGAAAAAGGAGCAGACCTCTCACACTGTTCTTGTTTCCGGTTTCAATTTTCCAGGAACTACTTCAAAGATCTGCTTTAAACGTGAAGTTGAACATCTGAAGGAACATTGTTACGACTTTTTTTAAGTTACAATAGTTCTGCGGTTTATACAAAACATGTTGATTAAGTTTTTTAATCAAATTCTTTACATTTTCAGTCCCTTCCGGAATGAGCCATTTTAAGGCTCTATCAATTTCAGAAAGCAAATTATTGCTGGCCACGCCCACCCATCCCCTGATTGGATGGCATAATGAAGGAGCTCAGATATCCAGGAGGAGCTCAGAGTAACGCTGCTTTTCTTCTAACGACCATAGCTGAGGAATGGTTCTATGCTAATTTTTCTTATTGTGACATCATAATAAGGGATATTTTGAAACACTTTTATTTAGGCATTTATTTCCTGACTAAAATCTGACATAACATGGATGGGTGTTTCTTTTCTCACGTTTGGAGTGAAAGAGGCAAAAGGGAGCGACCCACGAGGCAACTTTCACACAATTAATCCCCTTTAGGCTACATGTAAACCACCACTTAAACTATATTTATATTTTATTATTTTATTTAATGAATTAATTTTATAAAATACAAAAAAATGCCTCTAGTTAGCATTGCATACAATAGAAACGTCCTTTACTGTCCTTCAGTGAGGAAATTGTGTAACAGCAGAAAACCTGAGTCACACATCCATAATAAGAGTCTGTACGCTAAATAAAATATATATTAAAATCAAATTTACTACAGTTTGACTTTAAAACCTTTAAGATGTGAGTGTCCATCAGCAGGTGTGTATTTGTGTCTGAGAAACAAGAGCAGACTATTTCCAGGAAGTGGGAGGACAAATGGAAAACTGCAAATGAAAAATGGATGCAAGTGCAAACAGAACAATAAGGCCTCACAGCAAACTGAGCAGGGATGCAGAAGTGTTCAGTGGGTTCGTTGGAGCGGTGATGGTTAGAGGCTAGCAGCTGCTGGGAGGAAGGACCTGATAGCAATCATGACCATGTTTTAATGTTCTTTTAACCCTTCTGTTTATCCCTTTATCAATTTATTCATATGAAAGCCATAAAATACAACTCAGCTTAGCAATAAATTTAGTTGGTTTTATGGATGTAAAAATTCAAGCGTCAGCTGAATTTTAAGGTAAAATTCTCTCTTATTTATTTTCACCAAACCACGAAAACACACTTCAACCCAAATATTCTGTTTAGATTAACTTCAGACGATCATCTTTTACTTTTTCCTACTTTTGAAACCCATCCATCCATCCATCCATCCATTTTCATCCGCTTATCCAGGGTCGGGTTGCAGGGGCAGTAGCCTAAGACGAAAGGCACAGACTTCCCACTCCCCAGCCACTTGGGCCAGCTCCTCCGGGGGAATCCCAAGGCGTTCCCTGGCCAGGTGAGAGACATAGTCCCTCCACCGTGTATTGGGTCTACCTTTAGGCCTCCTCCTGGTTGGACGTGCCCGGAAAACCTCACCAGGGAGGCGTCCAGGAGGCATCCTGACCAGATGCCCGAGCCACCTCAGCTGGCTCCTCTCGATGTGGAGGAGCAGCGGGTCTACTGCGAGCCCCTCCCGAATGACCAAGCTTCTCACCCTATCTCTAAGTTAGAGCCAAACCACTCTTCGGAGAAAACTCATATCAGCCGCTTGTATCCGCAATCTCATTCTTTCGGTCACTACCCAAAGCTCATGACCATAGGTGAGTGTAGGAACGTAGATCGGCCGGTAAATCGAGAGCTTTGCCTTCTGACTCAGCTCTCTCTTCACCACGACAGACCGGTACAACGCCCGCATCACTGCAGATGCAGCACCAATCCGCCTATCGATCTCAAGCTCCAGTTTTCCCTCACTCGTGAACAAGACCCCGAGATACTTAAACTCCTCCACTTGGGGCAGGACCTCATCCCTGACCCGAAGAAGGCATTCTACCCTTTTCCGAATCTAGACCATGGTCTCAAATTTAGAGGAGCTGATTCTCATCCCAGCTGCTTCACGCTCGGCTGCGAACCGCTCCAGCGAAAGCTGAAGATCACGTTCTGATGAAGCCAACAGGACCACATCATCTAAAAAAAAGCAGAGACCTGATCCTCAGAACACCAAAACGGATGCCCTCCACATCTTGGCTGCGCCTAGAAATCCTGTCCATAAAGGTTATGAACAGAATCGGTAACAGAATTGGTGTTGGTAGCACACTGCCCCCCCCCCCCCCCCCCCCCCCCCCAAGGCATCACCCCCTTATCTGAAATAACATGCCCCAGGTAGTGAACTTGTGTGGCAAACAAGTCACACTTAGATGGTTTGACTTGAAGATTAGCTTGCCTTAGCTTTTGAAACACCTGCTCAAGACGCCCTAGATGTTCCTGAAAGTCTTGTCCAAACACAATTATGTCATCCAGGTAAACTAGACAACTTGTCCATTGCAAATCAGCCAAGATCAAGTCCATCAACCGTTGGAAAGTGCCAGGGGCATTACATAACCCAAAACTCAACACATTGAACTCAAACAGCCCCTGGCTGGTGATGAATGCCGTTTTAGGATGGTCTTTGGGTTCTACTTCTACCTGCCAATAACCACTGGCCAAATCCAGTGTGGAAAACCAGCATACATGTATGAGGCTGTCCAGTGCATCATCTATCCAAATCAAATTAAATCAAATCAAATCAATCAAAGATACTTTATTAATCCCAGAGGGAAATTAGTTTCAGTACACACAACAGACATACATGGGCAAGACACATGACAAGAATTGGTGACTGTGGTCATTCGCAACCCCGAGTCGCGCTACCTTAATAGAGATAAGAGGGGTTTACATGAGGGTTGGTTCAGGTGGAGGGAAAAAAAGAGGCACTTCAGAGCTACTCTCCACCAGGAGGGCAGCTTTGCTCTGCAAAAAAAAAAAACACCTCAAACATACATGCAACAGACTTCAGACATTACACAACACAAGTGTCCACTAGGTGGGGTGGTGGGTTGGGACTCTCCTCACTTCAGTTCCTGCAGCCACGATAGAAGCAGCGCATGTCACGTCAGTGTGGATAGGGGGAGGAGCATTGAGGGTTGGAGGGTTGCAGTGACCCTGGAATGTTTCAGCGGCCTTCCCACAGTCCCGCCCAGGCTGGGATAGGAGACAGAGTTGAGTTGCCATAGCGACGGCACATTCCACATATCTTCTGAGGGGGGAGTTTTCATTGCAGCCTTGCAGGCTCAAGGGCGCCAGATTCCGATTAGAAATAGTTTTGGGACCAGACAGAGATAATTTCCTCTCTGCCTTACAGTTTGTTGGTCCTCAACCTCTCAAAATCCCAATAATGGACATCTGGAGAAGGGTGTAAGCATCCTTCCTGGTGACTTCGTTAAGTTTTCGGTAATCCACACAAAACCTATACCCCCCCCTTTTTTTGTTTTACCAAGACTACTGGAGCAGCCCAAGGGCTATGAGAGGGCTGAATAATGTTATTGGCCAACATCTGCTTTAAATTAGCCGACACTTACTGCTGGAGGTGCAAAGGTACCCTCCGAGGGTGCATCTTGATGGCCGCTGCATCACCAGTTTCTATTCCATGAGCGATCAATTTGGTACGACCTAGATCTGTATCCCCACTACTAAATAGTTTCAGGTGCTGACCAAACAACTACGTCACGGCCTCTATTTCCTGACTGGAGAGACCTCGGTATTTTAAACCAAACTGGTCCATCAATGTATCTACAGTCCATCATCGTACCTTCCCTTTAAATGAGTCTTCCCATTCTACCTCTTCCCCCACATCAATGTCAGTAAACAACATATCAACTTGCATGCCACTCTTCAAAGTTAAAGGGTCACTGGTCACATTAATAACCCGTACTGGGAGCTGCCCTTGGTCAACTCTGCAGACAATCCTGGCCACCAGCAGGTCACAATGTTTGTACAGTGAATTTACTGGCTCCACCATTCCTGCAGAGTAATTGCCCCACTTGCTTTGAACTTGGCTCGTGGTTATAATCTCACTACGTGGAGGCACAATCATGTCAGCTTGCACCACTACCATTTGAGGGTCCGATGTCTGTCTTAAGATTAAGAAGAGGGAGAGTCTTACCCATGATCTGGCAAATCGTCTTGCCCAGATATACCACAACACCATATTTAGAGGGGAAATCAAATCCCAACAATATCTCCTCAGAAGGGGTGTCGGAAACTAAAAATTCCACCACAAGGCCCAAGGCATCAAACTGGCATACAGTCTGCCAACATCCTGTAATATGCATGCCACTTCCATTGGCTGCAGTGACATTCCCATCATAGGGACTTAGCCTCCCCTCCCCATTAGTTTATGTTTATTTTATGTTTATTTATTTGGGAGACGCTTTTACCCAAAGCGACTTACAATTTATAACCTATAAGGCATGTTGTGATCTGTGGGGGAAACCGGAGTACCCGGAGGAAACCCACGCATGCATGGGGAGAACACGCAACTCCACGCAGAAAGGCCGCAGCCGAGCCGAGTTTCGAACCTGCAACCTTCGTGCTGCGAGGCAACAGTGCTAACCACTGCGCCACCATGCAGCCCATTAGTGAAGGAGAGCCACACATTTCTAGGGATCACTGAGCAGGATGCCTCTGTGTCTATCAGAACATAGCTCTCACACCCACCTATTTTGGCTCTTTAAGCATTACCTTTTGGGCAGGGAGTTTGTTATAAGGACTGATCATAATTCCCTTAGGTGGCTACATAATTTCCAGGGTTTAGAGGGCCAGTTGGCCAGGTTGTCACGTTTTGAGGATGTTAGGACCCAAATATGCAGCAACCCAGGATGACACGAGGCAGGAGATGATGTAAGGTAAAATCCTTTATTTTGGGACGATAAACAAAATAAATCCAAGCAGCGAGCCTAAAGTCCAAAACTCCAAAGCTGGAGAAA